GAAGAGAATGCTGGAAAAAGAAAAGCTGAACTTCTATTGAATGGATTGAATGATTTACACAAAGTACAAGGGTTTATTATACCCATCTTTCCCCAAATATTTCCCTCCAAAACATTTGAGAGGGAAAGCTAAAATTTCCAGCAGCTCAATACATCAAAAGAGTGGGTCTGGTGGGCCGGCACCCTCCTGGGCCCCCTGGTGGGTCTAGGCTGCCCACAGGCTGTGTGCTTGGGCGCTGGCGGGCTTGTGCGCAGAGGCCCCGCGCAGGCAATCTGTCTGGGCACTGTGCGGCCTACTTGCTGTGCCATTGCCGAGCCATCCTGCATGCCGCACACCTGCGTGCCGTGCACCCCTGCTGGGCCGGCGAGCCCTGAGCCTGCGTACCGTGCGCCCATGCTCTGCGTCCCCGCGCGCCGCGCACCCCTGCTGGGCCGACGGCCCGAGCCTGCGTGCCGCTCGCCCATGCTGTGCGCACCTGTTGGCACCCTGTCGGGCTGGCCTGCCGCCAGCAGTACTCCTCCACATATCGGCACTCCGAAACACCCATGAGACACTTTTAATGCGTTGAACTGTGGTCCGTGACACCTGATCTTTGTCGAAGAACAAGATGTAGTGAAAACGAACATGTTTTCTTGGAAAAAGTCATACTTCAAGACTTAGCAACTGAGAAATATTTAGATAATCATTTTTCCCCTTTAGTAAATAAGGCCTAAGTCAAATTAATTAAGCTTTTTCAGGAAAGTAAGCGATTCATTTCCTTGGAAAGGAAAGAATTCCTCCTACAAGTTAAACAAATATTACAAAAAATATACGTACAGTTCAAAAACAAGAATCTATCAAAAAATTATAATATGATTGAAGACAATATAAATTTCTTTTTAATTTTATATTTCAACTTATTTAGAACGATTGATAAACAACTGAGTCAAGTCTAATATCAGCAATAAATTTTATTATTTTGCCTTTAAAATTTTGGATGTATACTTATAAACACTTCTAATTGTAGCCATGAAACATTAATTGAAAATATAACATTGCATTTGTGAAAAACGATTTCCTATCGCATGATCACATTGATTGAGACCAAAAGGATTAATTACGCGCACATTTCACCGAAAGGTGAAAGGGAATCTCACCTCCCCATTTTGAAAAGCAATTCCATGGCCAATATATTCTTGTTCTTAGTTTGGTACGTTTTGGTGTCCACGTGATGACAATGCAAGAAATGGACTTCCGAAGGATAAGAAAGATGCTAACTTGAGTAATTGGTGGCTTTTATTTTCTACAAACGAGCGGGCATAAGAACAAGATGCTGCAACTTGATGTCTAGCTCTTCAAAGTTGATCTGATGTTGGAGGATGCCAATACCGTACTTGCAACGGGATTATACTGTTCTACAAGCCAATTCTTGAGTACTCGCATGTCTATAGTAGAGGATCTAGTGGTGGAGCTGCGGAGCAGGCTGTAATTTCCCAGCAATACTCGTTCACCCCTCTACGCTTTGCCCTTTGGGCCTTTGCTGAGTATGATCCAAAACAGAGAAATTCTTTCTCAAAACTTTATACACAAGACTCATCCGGATCAATGAGAATACAATAAGTGGAGCATTGGTTGTGGAGGTCTATATAAACCCAAGGTTCCATACTACCTAAGACCACAAGTCCAGTAGGAGACCAAAGCAGAGGACCCCCTGCCTGTACTATATTTGATATAGTAACCTCAAAATCCTCTCTAGACAGCATGGTTTACAAATACAGCAATCCAAAAGCTGGCGAGTCAGCACCACGTGCGAGTAAGCAGCAGTTAAGGAAAGTATTCCTCGATTGTGATGTCGATGATAACAATGTCCTCACCGAGGAAGAGATAAGGAACGCGTTTGATCGCTTCGGTGCCCTCTTCCCTAGTTTCAGAACCTGGACAGCACTCAAGCGTGTAGATAAAAATAAAGATGGATGTGTCAACCTGGAGGAGCTTGACAGCCTCATAGAATACGCTCATCAACAAGGATACATCAATGTTAATTAGTTAGAAACTCAGTGCTGTCCTCGTTGGAATTATATCTTATATGAATAATTAAATCCTTTGCATAATTGATGTAAGAATATATTCCCCGTGTGAAATAGTTTGCAAGTTTCAGGCTTTAAAGATGTAAAAGGGGTAAATGAGTTGCCATCGATTAAGCTTCTCTTATGTATGCATGTATAAGAAATATTCTACTAAGCAAAGTCGTGTTAAATATATTAATAAACTCATTATCTTTTTTTCAACAATTTTACAAGAAGTGGGGTCAAAGACTTTAAATAAAAGTGGTTTACTAAAAAGTAATTTACACATTAATATTCAAATATTATAAGAAAAGATAAAAAAAATTTCATCTATAATTTTAGATTTTATTAAAAAAATTAAAACCTAAACTACTCTTTTTGTCTAAAAATTCAAATTCTTCCCCTTCTTGGTCTTTGAATGTGTTTTTCATTCTCTCAAAACAATTCATATAGGTTTCCATTTTAAGTAATTTGCAACCCAAATTAAATATTTAAATATTTCATGTCTAAATTTTTTTGATTAGTTTGATAATTTGGGTTGATAATTATAATTTAACTAATAGAAAATAATATTACATGTCAAATGATATCTTGAAATTGTGAGTTTTTTTTTATTTATTTTGTAGATATATTAATTGATTATTTGATTTTTTTATTTAATTTTATATGGTTTATGAATGTTTATATTTAGTATTAATCAATAAATAGAAAGTTGTCATATTATTAATTACTAAACTTGATAATTTGCTACATAAAATCATATTGTATTTAATTTTAATATTTTAGTTGATACTAATAAATAGTAATTTTTAACCAATTTTATAATTTTAGATAAATAAACTATAGAAAGATATTTTTTAAAAAAAATCATCTCATAAGACTTAAATTTCGGACAATAACAATAAAATTTTACTAATGATGACACTCAATAATATTATTTTAAGTAAAATCATGTTGAATTTAATTTAAGTATTTTTTCAAAATTTTTAAATATGAGACTATTCAAAAAAATTCTTAAAACCTTTCATTTTTCACAAACCACTCATAAAATAAGATAGGTGGATGCTAGATGCTAGATGTTTATAAAGTTTAATTATTTGATTTTAACAAAGTATGCCAGTATCAATCAATCCCAAATGTGATATGATAAGAATCTTTGAATGGAAGATAAAGATTGGTGTACAAAAAAAGCAGGTCACCGTAAGTGCAGAACACGAGTCAGCCTAATCCTAGCTTAGATATATGGCACATTGATACAGTACCATCTACACCTACGTGTCAACTCGTAGCATGAGATTCTTTTCCAAAGCATTATACACAAGTGGCGGTCGAGACTCCTCCCGATAAACCAAAACGTTGGTCATAGCCATGCAGTACACAAGGAGGTTTATATAAGCCCTGCCCGTGGCTTCAAAAATCCCAATATCACAGCTCCCCTGACTATCTGCCTTTTCCAACTAACTGATTCACATATAAACCTCAAAATCCTTTAGACAAACATGACAATTACTAATAAACCAATTTCAGGTTACCCTCAGGCGATTAGTAAGCAGCAGTTACGGAAGCTTTTCCTGGATTGTGATGCCAATAACGATGGAATCCTCACCAAGGAAGAGATAAAGAAAGCGTTTCACAATCTGGGTGCGCTTCTTCCTCGTTACAGAGCTTGGAAAGGGCTGAAACAAGCGGATGCAAATAAAGACGGATGCGTCAGCCCGGAAGAGCTTGACGGCCTGATAGACTACGCTTACAAACTTCAATACACAGCCATCACTAATTAGTAGAACTCATTGCTACAAGTTGTCTTCAGATGTATCTGGCATAAATGGTTTGAATGTGTGCTTGCTGTAATATTGAAGAGTACTGGTGTTCTTGCAAGTTCTAGGTTTTCAGTTTCTCTTCTATTTATATGATCTGAAGGAGTTACACCTCCTGCCTTGTATGTGATAAAGCTCTGATGTGATCTCTAAGTAGTTAAATATAACGCAATGCAGATTTCTGGACTCTTTGTGTTCAACGTGTTGAAAACTATGATTTTTGCTCTTTAACTGGTATAATTGGATCCCAAGACTCAAATTTTCTGCTAAAATGATGTAGAGGAAAAGTCTAACTACTAGAGATAGTCACTTTATCCAAGCTAAAGAAAGGGCATGTATGATCGACCAATGTTCTTTTCTTTTGTCTTATTAAGTTTCCTTCTTATGATAAAAGTGTGATACCCAACATCTCACGTTTAATATAAATGTGATTATTAAGATTTATATAACAATTCAAATTTATCATTATTAGCAAGTTTAAACTTTTAAAAACTACGTAGTTTAAACTCAAAAAATTGTGGAGTTAGTGGCTGAACTTGGTTCGTTACAAAAAATTGAGAAATGCTTTTCAAAAATAGTGATCCTTTCTTTATCCCTTTCAGATTTTCTTTGGACAGCTAATCTAAAGCAAATGAAAATAGCATCCACAAGAGGGGCTTAGGTTCCCTTTCATGACTTTATATCCAAACTCTCAAGATTACAAATTTTCTCTCCTTTCCTTTTATTCTTCCACCGTTTTGTATAGAATCTTTAGATTGCAATCATACTAGTATATCAACTATGCAAACAGAAAACAGTATTTCCTATGCTTAAAAAGGAAAACTTGTATATCAACTTCCAAGTCTATATTAAAGAGTCAACCAAAACATTCTATTTTTATCTTTTATCAATTATTCTTTTCCAAAGTTTCATTTGAAGTTTGGATTTTATTTCTCTCTACGTTCTATGAGCTAAAAGGGGAGTTCTTTTAAGAGGAAAAGGAGAAGAATTGTATAAATGCAAAATATCATAAGTGGGTATCTATAAAGTACAAGCATATTGCATGAAAATGGAGGATTCCGGAAACATCAATTCAATTTCTGGCCCTACCCAAATTCTTCTTGATAAGTAAGAATAAAGTAACAATAGTAATCTGCAAATGCAGGATGCCTGGATCTATAAAAGCCCAGCCCTCCATGCTCCCAGGATCATAGTGCAATATCCTTTAACCTATATTGTTATGTTTCTTCTACACCACAAGGATACAGCTCGAAATCCTATAAACAAAATGCCCTTTTATTACCAGTCCTCGGGAAAAGGTGCACCAATAAACTATGATGTGCAGCAGATTCGACAAATTTTCCTTGATTGCGATATTGACGGTAACAAAGTCCTTAGCAAGGAAGAGATAAAACATGCATTTGCTCGCTTGGGTGCGGCTATCCCTGGTTATAGAGCATGGCGAGGGCTCCAGCATGCTGACGCAAACAACGATGGATGCATCAGTATGGATGAGCTGGACGAACTTGTTCGATATGCTAATGGACTTGGATACAAAATCAAGTAGAATTGCGTACATGCACCTTTAATTTACAATGTTTTTAGCCTTTGATGTACTATTAATATATAAGTGTCATAAGGAAGCTTCGCTTCGAGCTTCAGCTTCTCTCCTAATGTTTTAGGCCTATAGCCCTTTTGCCTCTTATGCTTGGAATGCAAATATAAGATGTTTACATACTCCTCCTTCCTATTAGTTACTGTGTAATTCTGAAAATTAAGCTATATATATATATATTTGTATATATTTGTATTTCAATCCATGCATGTTTAGCCCACTGATCAAAATGATTAACTTTCAAGGTAAAGAACAAATCTTAACCAATGAATTTTAACTATCTTTGCTTTTTTTCTAATTAATTAATGAAGGGAAAAATCTTCTTTCTAAGGATCATAATTCATAAAGAAATAAAAAATCCTCTTAAATTTCTTGTTGGAATGTATATGCTCATGATGATATTCGAAACTAGCAACCATATTTTGTGCCCTCTTACAACTTTGTTCAGTCACTGCCCACAGATGATGCTGATACTGATTCCTAGTATGTTTAGTGTGTACATGTTTATAAATATTTATGAGTTGCAGTTTCAAGGCTCAAAGCTTAAAGGGTAGGCGAAGAGCAAATATTTGAGCATGGGAATTAAGCCTTATATCTTTTCTTTTCTTCTTGAAGGCAGAGCCTTTTTATTTTCCTTTAGCGTGCTTGGAGAGCAAAGTTCATTGACAAAATAGCACAAGTACAATCAGAACAAAATTCTCTAAAGCTTAGAAGCATGTGTAATTAAGCCTGATTTCCCTTTATTGAGTTAATGAAAGTAGTAGAACTTCTAATTTGAGACTGTCATAATAAGCTTCTCTTTTCCTTATTTCATGTATCTTTAATTTGATTTGCTTTTTGAGTGTTTGAATAACAGTAATGACCTTTTAATTCTTCGATCTTTCTCGAGCATTTTTGGACCATGGATACCAATTACGGAAGAACCCCATGAATCTCTTTCTTGAACAGAAAAAAATAAAAGAAAGAGATAACCATGAGTCTCTTCCCCTTTGCCCTTTATTCTTCCCCGACGTCATTCCGAGTGATGAAACAGATGGACGTCCGCAGCTGACGCCTGGCTCTCATGACTTATTCTCATCCTGAGGAGAGAAAGATGAATTCATTAGGAAAAAAGAATAACAATCACTATTACTCTTTTGGCACTTAGCATAATTCTTTTTCTATCCTATTTATGGATGAAAACAACTATGAATCTCTATTTTAAAAAGGATTCTAATTGTTGTTACGAATCTCATTCCCTCTTTACTTTTCTATCCTAATTCCTCCTTTTCTTATCCTCTGCTTTATCATTATTCTTCTGTCACTTCCACCCAAGTGATGGAGATCAATGCCAACATCAAAGATTATTAAACAGCCAAAATCTTGTGAGAAAGGCGTCAAGGTAAATTTTCTATATCACCCTCTATGCGTAATTAACAAGTAAACTTCTACGTAATACACTCTTATTTTTATTCACAATTTTTATTAATTTAATAATTAATTATAACAAAGAGAAATCAGCCTTTTTAATTGTAGGAACGTTGATCTATATATATAACAAGATATTACTACTATTTATATTTTAACTCAATTATGTTGTGGAAAAATGTTTCAAAATTATACTATTTAAGATATTTATTGAATAAACAAAGATCAAAAAACATTTCTTGGAATGAAACACATTATAAGAGGCGAGAATAAGAATATAAAAAGGAGAAATTCGAGAAAAATAATAAAGAAACAAAGAGACGAAGTCGTATACAACCATAAGTGAAGAGATATTCTATATAAATCCATGCGTGTTATAACCCTTTTCCATCATATTAGCAAAACTAAGTGTCTCTCATTTAGTTATCCAAAGCTCCAAACCTGCTCCGTCCCGTTGTCACCATGCCTCTTTACGTGCCTAAATCCCTGAATCTTACCCTAAATGAAGGGCAACTGAAGGCTATCTTCAAAGAACACGACACCAACGGGGATGGTCGTCTAAGCAAAGAGGAGCTATCGAAAGCTTTCGAAAAGCTCGGCTCGCGCAACCCTAGCTGGCGAGTTCGTCGTGCACTGCACCATGCCGACACAAACGGAGATGGATCCATCGGCATAGACGAGTTGGACGACCTTGTCAAATATGCTGTCAAACTAGGATATGGCGTCAATTAGGGTTGTTGTATATTTATATATGCCCGTACAATAAAATGGTCTGTTGTTTGCTTTGCTAACTGATTGATGAAGAAAAAAAAGAAGTTTCCTTCTATTTGTACTTTTCACTTGTGAGTTTCACTGTCATCATATAAGTTGTACTTGTAACAGCAATGGGATGCAATCTTTGTTGGGCAAGAATTTCCCCTTTTCTTTTCGATCTTTCTGATGAATGAGATCGACATGTGTTTTGAATTTTTCAATAATTTATATGACTAACTTAATTTCAATGTGATTACCCTTCTTATAAAGATAAATTCATAAATGATATTTCTTATATATATATATATATATCAAATTTATTTAAAATGAACTTATATAATTATATAATTACATCTCTTAAAAATAATAATACAAATGATAGATACAACATATCTATTCCCATACTCGAAGATGTCCTCCTATTATCTTTTCCGAAGCCATTATCTTTCCCGAAAAGGTTACAAGACTCTTTCCGCCATATGATAATTCAACGGATAGATAACTTTTCAAAATTATGAAAATACTATTTTCTTTTTCTTCTTAATTTCATTCATTTTCTCTTACAAGTGAAGGCAACTAAGCTAAAGCATAAATGCCTTCTGAAAATGAAATATAGCCATCTGTTTTTTCCTTGAATTTTATTTTATTTTTCAGATTATAAATGAATATCACATGTGTCTTTGTCTAGACATAAACAAGTTTTTATCAAAAGGATATGTGTAATCAATTTAAACTTTATCTTATCCAAATTTTGAACCTAATCGTATCGTTTTTGAGAGGAGAATCCTGAACTTACACATGCAAGGTGCACAAGAAACATACATCAAAATTAGCATATAAAGAAACTAATACACATATTTAGCTTAAAATATTTCATATCTCAGCCTGACAAATAGAATCAGAATCTCCATTACTTTAGAAAATCAGGACCCCTGAATTCAGCTTTCCTTAGCAATTTCTGTATGGGAATAAGTCACACATGCTTATGCATATGTAGAACTGAATTCTTTACACGAAAAGACCTTGGATTCCACTTCTTAAATTCGTTTCCACCTGTTTTGTTATGAGCTTTTGATATGTCGCAAAACTACTAGACTAGTTACTTGCAGGAGCTTTGCTTTTGAAGTTTGTCTATGCCTCTTCCGTCCTTGTCACGATCAAGTGTTTATATTCCAGATTTGATTACAAATGAAATCTGCCAACTTGACAAAAAATGCCTATGCAACTTGACCACCCTTTTTGGTGGAGCTTGATTCTTTGACCACTTTCTTATGTGCTTAATTAAGGTCTAGCTCTTGGAAGGACAGGTGGCCGTCTCTCAATGGATACTAAAATAAAATATTTATCCTTCAGCAAGCTCTTTTCTTTCTTTGTTTATGTAATATTCTGGCTTTGTCCTGGTTTCATTTCAAGTCCAATCTCCTTAAGGCTTAAGTGAAATGTAGGCCCAAATTCCAAGCCCAGTCCAAGAAGGCACTTTCTATTTGGAATTGGAAACTTGTGAATCTGTTTAACGTTGAGCTTATTTCTAATTACAAACAAATTCAGACTAAATATTCATGAACATCTAATCACTTCATTGTTAAGAACAAAGATATTGGCTGAGTGGTGATAATGCAGCAATCTGGAAAGAAGCTGCCATCCTGACAATGCTGAAATCTGGAAAGAAGCTGCCATCCTGAAGCCACTGAACAACAATCGTGGTTCAACACAAAAGGTTCAATGTATGGTTACTTGCTGGAAATCTGTGATACCTGTGCCGTATTTATCTGTGGAAGGGTTAAACATTGTGGTTAGTCAGGATAGCATGCTTTGTTCTATTATTATCAGGATTCCCTGTTTCGGGTCAGCCCGTGAGGGGAGATGATTATGTTGTGATTTCTGGGTAATTGTTGTGTGACCATCTGGAATGCTGTAGTTTGAGTTCAATCTAGTAATCTAGGCGCTTTTTATCATAGGGAGACACTGTTGAGTTCAGTGTAGTCAAGGTAAACCAGGTGGCTATTGTTTGATTGGCACATGGGAATCGGGTAAGCTGAGGGGGGCTGGTTTGTTCCAGGAAAGAACCCCCTGAGTTGCTGTACTCATGCACTTATTTGGTGCTCTAATGACAATCGTCCGCTTTCCGAAAAAGGAACAAAGTTATAGGCAAACTTGCAAATACAATGAATGACTCATATTCTCAGAATACTGTGAAGTAACTTCGGAAAAGATTAAGTTTAAATGATGCTTTGAAGAAACAAGGGTTGTGTTTCACATGGGAAGAAGTGAATATTTTATAGTTGATTGACGGTTTAAATTACACAAGTCAATCGAATTTTTTGTACAAATTATCGAAGTTCAAACCACTTAAGGGTAGGTTTATACCCTCAGCACGTGATACCATGTAATTTTCCATGAAGCACACTGTGGCACTTATTCTAGAACCTAAATGAAAGCCATAGATTTGCATTCCTTCTTAAAAAAGGGAATTATAGGAGGGAAAAATAGGTAGAACAAGCAGCATAAATCCGGGCTGCACCTGCACTACTTCTCAAAGACTTTCTCACCTGCCCTATGAGCATTGAAATACATATTTATCCTGAATTATATAGTTTTCATGACCATATCGTGAGTAGGAGCATCCCCATGGATGGAAAACGTATTATGACGATGACCGAGTTCAAGCAATGGTTAAAGAAGTCAGATGCAGACAAAGGTGGCCGGATCAGCAAAGAAGAACTCCGGAATGCTATTTATGAAACCAGGGGACGATTTGGCCGATGGAAGAGCAGAAGAGGGATACGATCAGCAGATGCAGATGGCAGTGGCTATATTGGTGAAAATGAGATCCACAAATTTGTTGAGTTTTCAGACAAATATTTGGGTGTAAAATTCTTTACATGTAATATTGTGCTGATTATATATAAGCCCTGGGCAATAGAGTGTGTGTTGCTTTGATCAAACCACTGTACCTCTTGGAATTAAAGATTTCTATATGTTATGCTTGCTTCTTTACATTCTACCATGCATCACTCAGTTCCCTTCACTCTCGACCTTGTTCCTGGTTCAAAATACTCCTGAAAGATGGCTTGAAAGAGAGGTTAAGAACTTGATTTACAGATTTGAGGTTAAGAACTCGGGCAAATATGGTTCTAATGCTGGCAGAGCAGTCAAGCTTCATGTATATAGAAAGAAGAATCAAGAGTGCACCTGAGTTTTCAGGATAATTTGCAGCAAATGTAAACAGAGAGTGAGCAAAGAAATTGGCCTGGCAACTGGGAATTGGTTATACACACACACACACACACACACATACATACTATTTCTTATAAAGAGATTCGATGTTGGTTTCTAGCCCTTTACTCTTCGTTGGTGATTGGCCTAATCCACTTCCTCATTTCCATATACAATCCTTTTGGGTCCCTTAACCTCGGATTCTGAAGTCCAATAACATAACACCATCATTGATTCTAGGGAATAAAGCCGTCAGGGATCTAACTGTTAAATGCATTGGTACAGTTTTTGTCCCTTAAGGGGGTCAGGTATCCTCATTAATGACCCTTTCCGATGGTTCCAAATAGAGAGAGATCCGTGTTTGTTGCCTAACTTAGCCGCGGCAGCATTAACAAACAGAATTTCCATAGATTAATCGCCAGTTGTTGTCCTTTCTTCCTTGGATTTGGACAAACAGCAAAGGTTTATTACTTCTTAATTGCAACCTTTTCTCTTACTTTTTGGGGCTCTATGGGCTTTGTAATAGATAACAACAGAATATTAGGCAACATTTGCAAAAGCTAGTAATACATCTATTGCTCTATGCTTCTTAAGCAATAGAAATTGTCTAAACTTTCAAAAGCACTTTGTTTTAAATACTCGACTTCCATGCTTTAATTGTGCTAAGCCAAATTTCTAATTATATTTGCAAAAGCTAAAGCACGACGGAGAGAGGGGGAGATTGGTATAAATTTAAGAAGCCTTCGAACTCTCCTACATATCGGCCACCAAGCAAAACAGTGTGCACGGAAATAACAGACTTTTCCAGTCTTGGATTATCAGAAAATGGCCCTTAAAACTCGTAGCTACTCCGTCGATGGCAAGCGTGAAATGACGATCGATGAGTTCAAAAGATACTTGAAGAAATTTGATGATGATAAAGATGGCAGGATCAGCAGAGACGAGCTTGCAAATGCTATACGAGCAGCGGGAGGATGGTTTGCTACGAGGAAGAGCAAGCATGCAATTCGATCCGTGGATGCCAATGGCAATGGCTACATTGATGACAATGAGATCAAAAACCTGGCAGAGTTTGCAGAGAAGCACTTGAACTTGAGAATTTTGTATTTCTAGAGTGTTAATCTCGAGTAACATCCCTTTATCCATTTTTTCTTGTTTGATATGTTCATCCCCTTGTTCAAATTGTTTATCAGTATATGAGTTTTTTTTTTTTTTTTGAAAGATGAGTTTTTATTAATATAAGTTAAAATGCCGTGGAGAATCTTCAACGTTGAGATTTGAGACTCCTGTTGGCATGGAAGCTATCATAAGAAGAGCCTGTTCTGAATAATTACAAAAAGAGCAGCTGCTCAAAGACACTTGGAAGCATCTCACAACGGATAATCTCAAAAACAAGAGAGTTCTGGATAAATCCATAAACAAAAGTCTAATACTAGTAAAACTTATCAGAGTGATAAGATAAATAAGTATTTTTGGGGTTGACAATCCTCAATCCTCACAGCACCAGCCACCAAGGTCTTACAAACCAAGCGATCACTGATCAATAGGTGCTCTTCAAAAGACAAACCATCAGCATTTCCTGCACATCTCAAAGACCAGAGTCCACCACTCACACAATGAATCACACACCATGAGTTGCGTCTATCTCCTGGGAGGCTTGGCATTATTTGTCCATGTATAGATGATGAAAAAAATAAGTTAGCAAATACTTGTTCAGAATCTTACAAGGTCCGATTAGTGACAACTACTTTCACTTGCTTTATGGAATTCCATCAAAGAAGAATTCATTTCAGTTATACACATTCATCATATACCAGCTTTATGATGTATGAACTCAATCTCCCTTGAACTAATGTTGAAGATTGATTTTGTATAAGAAATTGAAAGTCTTAATGAATGTTTTACACGTTTTACTGCTTGTGGAATCACGTGAATTCACTATACAAAATTACAAATCGAACTACCCTGAAGCCACATACAAACTAAGATGAACTGTCCTTTCCTTTCTACGCAAATTTTATACTATAAGTTACTTTGGACAACCGTGAATCACCCAGCCCTTCACATTAAAGAGCGTAATGGAACTTCCCCAAAAGCCATGATCACATATAACCTGTAATTTGCCAGGGCAATCTTGTTATAAGAAATTTGAAAAATATACCCACTCTGAAACTTTGATGGCCATAGCTCGTTGGATCTTAAGAAGTGCAGGCAAGAGTTGGAAGGTCTCTGACTCAAGTGCTACATGTCTAAGATTGACCGCTCTACCAGGTAAAAGAAACCGCAACTCAATTCCAATCAGGTCCTAGAATATAAATTGACACAATCCATTTCAGATAACCATCCAGCAGTCCACCCAGAGTTTTTAACAAATAAGGAAAACTGAGATCAAAATATACCTGGACAGCTCCAGAATGATCGCATACATCATCCATCTATCTCACTATCGAGCAGTCAAGCTATACTCTAGTGGAAAACTTCAAATATCAATCAGAGGTAGAGGCAGTTTCCAGTAATTCCATGAATTAAAATCCTCCTGTAACCAACAGAAGTAATGAAGTGGAGAATGAGACACCCCAAATAAGAACTGAATTAAACTTGAAAATTTAAACACAATGTATTATCAGGAGAAGGTGAAACTTGGCACAATAGATGTCACCTAAGTGAAGGATAGAAATTCTAGAAGAAAGCACGGAACAAATGGATCTCTTTCCATTAAACAAGTATAACAAAAACTCAGTCTAGTTGTCTTTGCAATCATTTTTTTTTTATCAAACAGAAATATCCCCAAGAGGCCCCAGTGATACTAAGCTTGAAGTCATAGTCTACCGCTGTTGGAAGCGAACTCCACTCACCGCAAGTAATAAATGGAAAAGAAAAATGTAACAAAACCTGCTCAGAGGAGGCCTTTGGTGGAAACATGCCATGAACAAGAGCATGAAGAGAACTATAAGATTTTGTGTCAACCCGGCGATTTACAGCAACCTCACCCTGCAAACTTGAAAGCATTAGAACAGGAGTTTGGTGCAGTAACCTCAGAAGCATTTTGGTGGCCTTTCTTTAAGTATTAAAGCCCTGATTACCTTTGGATTAATAATGAAGATTTTCCCTATTGGGATTCCGACCTTAAGATAGCTGATTTCATCGGTGTCTCTATTCCCAAAACCAGCATAGAATGGATTGCAATCAGATGGAAACAATGCCTTGATATCCTACAAGTCAAAAGATATAAAATGCGTTAAAATGTTCCCAAAGACATAACTATCATCTACCTATCTATATTGGAAAGCTTTTAAATCTCTCAGTGTCATGCACAGTATCTACAAAGCCACAAAGAATTTTTAAGCTACAAGTTGTGCTGCATAATATTAAGACAGATTAAAATCTAAGGGTTGATGTGTTTTGAGCAAAAAACTAAGTCCATAGTTGCAATAATATAAAATGCATATTATAACTCAACAATTAAAATCTTTCAACAAAAAAAAAAACTCAACAATTAAAATCTAATTTTGTTGAGAATTGCAATAAAGTCACAACCTATTGGGATATAAATAAAACCTTCAAATGAAAGAAATAATCATAATTAATTTAACAGCACAACACCATATCAGAGAAGTTCAACATATTGGAAGTTAAAAAGGATGTCAGAGCAAAGAACTAACCTCTAAGCACCCAATCTTGAATTCATGAGGAGCTCTTCTAATAACTGAGAAATACATAGGATGTTTCAGTCCACATAATAAGGTTTAGAGATATCTTTCGGGGGTGGGGGAGGAAGAGACAGATAAGAAAAGGTGTCTGGAAAACTCTAATATGCTTGAAGGGCTAAAAGTATATGCTCCAAATCAGAACAATAGCATATTAACCATGAATGAGAAGCCCACTTAACTTTTAATTTGAATTTCAAAGTGGTCATGAATAGGAATCTTTCAATTTCCTACATAAAAGGAACATAATTGGAAACAGAAACAAAATAAAATAGAACAAGGCTTCATTTAATTCATTACAGCTCAACATGAAACAACAACTGAACTTTGATTTTTCAGGTTGTAATTGCATGTCCCATGCATCTATTTCCAAAGGTACAGCTACAGCTCATCTTATTTATTGCAGAAATGTCATAAATCTCTCTAGGGGTTGAACTAGTGAGGATTTACAACCTCAAGATAATGCACCATGTCCTTATGGGATGTAATACAACTAGAGTGAATTTAAAAGAAAAAGGGGGTATTTGCCTTATCCTACACACGGTTGGCAATTTATATACTCTTTTGCCATATTTTTTTTATTTAATGCATCATGATCTAAAAGAGCATAACCTTTGTCTTAATTAGACTTTAGATTCGATGATTCATGGAACAAAACAAAAAAGATAAATAAGATAGAAGCTAATTAAAATGGTATATGTTGCATAAGAAAAGCAAGCCCAGAACAATAGTCACATTTCTCGCATATGAAAAGCCCAAAAACTGTTTTATTAAATCCCTGAAATGGTAACAGTTACCTTCTCGATATAAGGATGGAAAAAGCCCATCAGGGGAAATAACGATTGGCCCATCTGGTAAAGCCTTACCATCCTACAGATATGAAGATAGGTTTGTTAAACAGTTTCTGCTTTTGACAAGCAACAGTGGTCAGTTCAAAAATCATTAAGGACAATGAAAACATGAACTCTTGAATTTCTTGATTCTCATTTTCCAGTTTGATATAAGAAAACCACCAAACTATCATGATCACCTGCTTAAGGTTGACTAAAAATTGTCTAGTGAGATATGCCTGGGATATTGCACGTGCACTAAGAAAAAGCAACTGATACCCATTTTCCTGCAACATAGAAGAAGAATTTTGATCCATGCAAGATATTAACACTGTAATAGATATTCATGCATTAACAGTTCTTAGAACATTGAGAAACCTTTTGCTTTCTAAAATCCTAACAAAGTATATAAGACAATGATTGTAAATTGCAAGGGCCTTCGATAAGACTGTACATTGCTCAAAAAACCAAAGTTTTTTTTTATTTTTTGGGTTGTGCAGGAAGGAATAAAGTATCATGGGCTCAAAAATTAAAATGTAAGATGAAAAGTAACCTACCTTAATAGCTGAAAATAAATGCGCAACACCTGTTTGTGACCAATCTATCCCAACCAAAGGCATGAACTGACCTAGAACATCTGATCTGTAACAACAATGTAAAATTAGGGAACCCAAAAATGACCAAAAGAAACCTTGGTCTGCAGCAATTAAGAACTTGGGAAAGAACCAGATTATAAAGAAACCTACTGTAACAATTTCAACGAGCAATTCAACGTTATGTAATGCTAGCGGTCTCCAATACCTTGTCAACAAAGAGTAGAACTATGAAAAACAAGCTGAATTCATTTTGAGAAAAGGCATCATGAATTTTGAGCCCAAGATTAAGATTTTAAGACAAACAAAACATTATGCAGGTTAACCAAAAGTCAATGCTAAAGCTGCAACAGAGAACTATAGAAAAAAAGCCAGCAGCCATAGAGCTCAAACTCCTAGCAAGTACATTTGAAATGACTGAAATGCCAGAAGTATGGACAGCCTGAAACCTAAACACAGCCACTTTCTTGGGCTATCAAATCAGCTAGCATTCTGCAAATGATTTCACCCATGCACCTGTTATATCTAATAACCTAATTATCATATCATTGTTCTCTGTTTCACCCTGTCCAACAGACTATGGTCCCTATCTATGTTTTCTTCGTTCTATACCATGCATGTGTTTCTTATGCAATTAACCCAAAACTCAGCCCATTGATGGGATGAATCAACTTCGATGGAGATTCCCCACATAAATCAACTATGACCAAGCTTGACTACCTAGGCTAAGCAACACCTTACACAGGCCAATAAATTTGATTGCCAATTTAATGTTACACCCATTACAACATGGAGCACATGTTCAATTATCATTCACTTTGCGACATGCAGTTGTTATCTAAATCTGACATTTAATTTCAAGAAAGAGAACTTTGTAATTGTCCAATACTCAATGCAAAACATTACTATAACATTGTTCTGCATTAGCAAATCTTGTAAATGTCCTTACCTTGTAATTGTTCCATCAACATCTGAGATTACTATATGAGCGCTCCATTTCCACAAATAGATTCTGGCATCAACCTGTTTAGTACATGACTTGTAGTGAGCACATCCAACTACAAGTGCTAAAACAGAAAAGATCTTACCAAAAAACTAATAAAGAATTCAGAAAGAGAATGTAACTTCAAGTAAGAAATGAAAAGGACCTGCTGCTTCCCCAGCATAGCGGTGGAAAATGTGAAGGTTATATGATTCATCCCATCCTTTAGATTCAACGATGCCAGCTGTTCAGAGGTTGGAGTTTTTGCCCTGATCATCTTCTTCACTTGCCTGGCTTTAAGCAAATTTTTATCATCATCACTGACAACGGTACCATCTGCAGCATTCTCAGCATCCAAACCTCTGATATCAACTGAAGCCGGTTGCACAGCCTTCCTAGATCTGGTTCTTTTCAAAGAAAAAGGCCAAAGCCTCCAACTTCCACTATGGGAGACTATGGCTTTAGAAGGATCCCCTTCAACAGATGTCTCCACTCTGTCAACAGGTATCATGCCTTGCAGTTCAAATATTTCTTCACTTCCAAATGCAACCATCCCTAAAAG